GAGTCCGGCCCCGGCAGGTAAAACGCGGTGGGTTGACCGTCCCCTGAACAAAAGCCCCCTCACGACAGATTCGCCGCGGTCCCGCTGCGTTAAGCCCCGTGGTGCCTCCACCGCGAAGGCCGAAGTGATTGAGCCCTGAATCGTCACCTTTCTTCCCTTCGTTTTCGGCCCCGAACTCCGACTCTTTCCCCCTGTGTTTTCCCCTCTGTGTATACGCACGGCCAAGTTGAAACCACGGACCCGTCCGAACCGTCCGTCAACACCGCGCGGCCGTCTTTAACTCGTTCCGTCCAAGTGTAATTTGCGGCGCCCCGTAGCGGGGTATTACAAGGGATTCGTTTTTAATTCGACACCGGCAGTTGTCGACGAAAGCGGGCCTGATGACTTCTCAGTCCCGTTAATGAACGAGCTTAATTGGGAACAATACCTAGCTTATGCTGATCGTCATTATTATAATCCCGCGTTTCTTTGTCGCTGCAATATGTCAAACTGCTTTAGAACAGATGGAAAGCTAGAGACACTTTAAACCCCATAAAGCACAAAATAAACTGACTTTCTGTTGATAGTCCCCTAAAAAAGTTGGATTGATACTTTAAAATGTATTTAGGCCTACTGTTCAAGAGAAGAACAATGTATACACTCTTCGGAAAAATAGAACTAAAAATGGCCAAACAATATGATACTAGCCTAGTATTACTAAAGAAATCCTAAAATTGCCCTCAGGTTCGGTATGAAATGTCGCTTATTATCAGCACATAACTGCAAACAATATTCGGAAACTTATATTATATTGTTGCTTCAACAATTAGCCTATAAAATAATTGTTTGTATTCCGAAGTGAGATTCATAACCTTTCCCGTCTCTGTGGCAACTTTTCTTCGGATTATGCATTTAAGTTAATGTGGCTGGAACACCGGACTTTTTGACCGAAAGTTGCAATAGCAATTGGCAAACTAGCTACGTTATTTCTCTTTCTTTTCGACAAGCTTCGCTGAAGTTGAATCTTAAGAACAGGTTGCTGCTCTGTCGGGGTTTATTCGAAAGAAGAAAAAAACACACATTTAATTCATAAAATACTGCCATTTCCGCTTGGTTTTGTCTGGGCCTCCCCGCGCACATGGCCCCGACGGGCCCATAACTATTTTCTGCCCCCGAACATGAACCTGAAAAATCAATCGCGAATATATAGGCCGTAAATCAGCAGAATTTACGGCGCGGTCTCGCGATACAGTCGATGTAACCATGCCAGAAAGAAATAGTCGCAGATTGACGGTTGTGTAAGGTTGCTTGACGAAAAGTATGAGCAGATCCCAAGAAATTCATCTTTAAGACATTTTTTCACCAATTCTTCTGTCATATTTATATTCATCATGGAATATTTAGCTTTCTTTTTTTTCAATTTTGAATATGTAGCTTTTCTTTTAGATTATTGACTAACTAGCTTTTCTTTTTGATAGACACTCGTTCGACTTTCTGATGAACGTGGACTGTGTGCAAATATAGGTCGACACTCTGTTCCTAGTTGATGTCTATAATTCTTGTCGATACACAAAGAGACTTCAACCGCACTTTATTGTGTTGGCATTATTTTACCCTAGATCAAAATGGAGAAAAGTTCAGAATTTAATTTGGAGGTGTTTTTTTTTCAGTCGCTCATCTGTAGTACTGCAACTTGGTTGAAGAAACTCTTCAGGGGTACACCTTGAATAATTTGACTGCCCAGCAGTTTTTTCCCGATGCTAAATACAACACGGCAACTGTATACATAGGGGCGTATAGGATTATAGTCTGTCAAGAAACGTATACAGGGGCGGATCTCGCTTTCAGGAAATGGGGGGGGGTGTTGATATGAAGGTCGGGGTGAGTGAAGGCGTGCAGGGGGGGGGGGGGGGGGGGGGGGGGCTTGCCCCCTGATCATTTTGAAATCTACAATTCTAAGGCAATTTGAGAATAAACTTAGGAACTTTAGCATCCATTTTGGCCTCATTTTACTAGTATCATAACATTAGTCAGCGGCTGAACGGGGTTTGCGAACCCCCCCCCCCCACCACCCCCACCCCCATCCCTAATCCCCAGATCCACCACTGAGATATCATCTCCCAAATTCAATAGGTTTGGAAAAAAGGATGGTTCATGTCAAAAACCAGGGTTGGAGCAAAAACAATCAGTGAGCGTGGGCTGGGGCGGGGCACAATGTGGTCTCAAAAAGGGGGTGCATGTAACATGACAAGAACACTGCTGTGAACAGCTAAGCAGCTCCACACACTAACTTAAAGATCGCTAAATGCTACGTGATATTATTAGCTCTGTAAATGGAATGACATCAAAAGTGCACAAATGAAATAATACGATGCACTGCATTGCGGTACAGTTTGCAACTGTGGCGTTGTGATTGCCCCACAATGCAACGCAAGATATATCCACTGGGCACTTCCGGTCTGGCCCGACTATCAGTAAAGTGTATAGGTAGGTCTCTAGGACTCTCAATAGAATCGGGATAGAGGCACGTCGGCTTTTGGACCTTTTAATCCGTCCAGATGGTTTTATGTCTCGCTTCCGTTTTCATTAGCCGAACAAATTGCGCTCTTTATGGAGCATGTAATTGCGGCCGAGGTGGTCGGTGGTGTACTACAGTTAAGAAACGATCAAACGGTTCCTGCGATACTTTGGAAATCACTCCATCCGTGGACTCGCGTGGAAAGCAGTTTAATTGTTGTGGTCTGGGTTGATAAGAATTATAAGGGCTTTGACTTTCGATTTGACTTCATAAAATAAACACATTTTCCATGGATCTGCTGACGTCCGTGCAATTGTAGATAACAGCAACATACATTAAATATTAATTTATAAATATTAAATAATCGGTTAATATTTAATATTTACCGATTTCAAGTTCTTATTTTCCACGTTAAGTAAATGTGTGTTCTTTAATTCACAGGACTAACAATTATGGTTCACATTGACGTGATGTCCCAAAAAGAAAAAAAACTGAAAATGCTCCAAAATTTATTTCAAACACACCCCAAAAAACCCTAATTTGGACCTTGGGCCATGACGGGTGACCTCACTGTCGGGACAGACGCGCTACGCGCGCCGCGTGCCAATCACAACCCATGACGTAACCCCTCACGGAATAATTACTCCAGACTTTGGGTAAACACACGGCATGCTGGGAAAGGGGGCGTGGCTTAAGGCTGGCTTATCAACAAGAGAATGAAAACACCCCAATTTCTCGTCAATATACACACAGCCCGAGGGCAGGCCAGCAACAGATTCCGGGAACAAAACTCGGCAAGAAGTCAACAGCTAAGTACACGCCGTGAACACACGGGGGCCAGTTTGGGCATTGTTGAGACCACGCGACACCACCTAACCACCCAATGTGTATAATCCTTTGCCCTTGTGTACTACCGATACCATGCTACCCATACTGTACTCTCTACCTCCCCCCCCCCCCCCCCCCAGGCTTGCCAAGAAAAAAATCTTCCCACCAAGTACAAGTAAATAAAATCAAGTATTCATGGTTTCTTAATGACGATGACCCATGCAACACAATCTTGAACTTGGCTATTCAAAGTAACAGATGGGAGCACTTTTGAATCGTGTTTCATGCCATACCTGCAGACTACTACATTGCAGTCGTGGTTTATGTGCAATGTGCGATTTTTTTTTTTCAATCGTCCCGGGAAAATTCCCTTAACGTGGTATATTAGCATACAGGCATTATGTGTGGTGCTTTTCAAAAGAAAGGTTCATGGGTTGTTTGGATAACCCGTGTCCGCTCCACGGAACCTGTAATCGCGCCGTGCTCATGAATCGGCCCGTCTGTATTTATTTGATACATGTGTGCTTTAGATACATTAATCCGGTGTATACGCACAGCGTTTCTTTGCGCAAACCAACCGATAACAAACAAAAAAGGACGGTCAAAACGTGACTATTGACAGACGGGGAAAGGGGTGGAAAGGGAGAAGTTGGTAGCCTTGAAGTCTACTGATAGTGCGCTGTCCGATGAACCAGACACAATCTCGCTTGAGCATTGTTGCGCGTTTATAAGCAGGGCTAGTGGTAAGGGGGGCCGCGCCGGGCCGGTATTGAGTTTGGCCAGCCAGGCACAAGCCTCGGACCGGCACTGGTGCCGGAGTCGCATGCTAGACTGGCTCTTGGGAAACACCCATGGACCAGTGATAGGCCGGGCCCGGCTAAGCTTGCTACTTCCCCGGCAAGCTCACGGAAGAAAATAAGGGGGAAATGCCGCCGCTATGTTACTGTGTAATGCCGTCCTGAATGGGGCCAGTGATTCGAAAACACAACTGTAAATTGCTTTATCCTAACTTTTTTTTCTGTCTTTTTGGTGGCGGTGGTGGGGGGGGGGAGGAATATATATATTAGTCAGTGACATGGTACGCATGAACACCTTGTCTCAGCATTATGTGCCATCTAGCATCGGTGGAAAGCCTCAGTCATGCAACATGTAACGTACAAGTGTTGCAAGTGCCCACAGACCGTGAGCCGGCCCCATCGCTTGCCCGTTAACAGCACGCGGCTATAAAAAAGCAGCGTTTGTCCCGTGGTGTGTCGTCAAGGCTGACCCGCAACAGGCAAGGTGTAATAGCTTTACATGCTCTTCGCATATCACTCCGTCGGTTCGGTGTGCGTGTGTACAGTATGTGTGTCAATCAGTCAGTCATTCTTTCCCCCTCTTCTCGAAAACCCCTCCCTCTTTTTGTTCGTCTTGATGACCACAATCTACACGGAGAATAACTGTACCTCTTTTTATCGTGAACTGGGACTAAAGAGGGGGCCAAACAAAAAGAAAGTGGGGGACTAAAATGTACCCCTCTTCAGCTTCACTCCATGCTGCACACAAAACAAGAGGGGTTTAGTGAGTGGTGCCTAGAGCCCCCCACAATAGACAGTGACAACCCAACATTGAAGTGCGAGTGATTACACGCATGCGTGGTTCCCAAATTACCTCATCTCATTGGCCGAGCAGGCGTCAAGCTGTCACTCACCACAATGCCGACCAATCATGCGGAAGCATAATTAAACCTAATTCAGTCACGCTGGGCGCCTAACAAGCTCAGTTTTTTTTTACGGGGGAGCTCCCTAGCGAAAGGGGCAACACTTTTACGTGTCGTTTACCGGCCGGGGATCGTCATTCGCAAGTAGGGGATCCTCCTTGGCGCGTCGGGGAAGCTTAGCAAGGCCCGTCAGTCGACTGTTTTGTATACCGAGTGATACACGATGAGTACCGAGGCGCTGCACCCGCAGTACATGGACCATTCTCTAGTCAAGCGGAGCTCGGCCTTGCGTTTCGTGGACGTGGGAGCGCACCAGAACTACAACGGTATGCCGAGCTTCGGGCTCCCACCGCACGCCCACCACGGCCACGGCGGCGAGACGCTGGGCTCGGAGTCCAACATGCCCCCGCTGAACATGAACCCGTACGGGATGCCCGACACCTCGCACATGGGGGGCCTGAAGCTTAGCCCCCAGCACTCCCACATGGGGGAGGCCTCCATTGTTTCATCGCAGGCCAACTATGGATCGCAGTCCAACGGCTATGCCCCCCACTCGCACGCCCACGGCCACCCTAGTGTCGGGGGTTACCCCAGCCAGCCCTTCGCGACGGGACGGGACTTTCTGCTCCGCCGAGACCCGCTGCCAGGCTCCGGGATGCACCCTTCCCTGGGTGGGTTATCATCCCACGAGTCCTCCTACACCTCCAACCCAGCAGCGACCCACCACAGCATGTTCCCACCGAGCGGCTCCCTGCACCACTCGGCCGACAACTCGGCCACGCATGTGATCTTCCCCGGACTCCACGATCAATCGAGCCACGGGGGAAGCATGAACGGTCAGATGAGGCTGGGGCTACCCAGCGACATGCGGGCCGACCAGTACAACCCCATGGCGGGTCCCCGTAACGATTACCTCACCTCGCCCCAACTCCACAACCACATGAACATGAACATGAACATTGGACCCCACCACAGCCACGCCGCGTTCTTCCGATACATGCGACAGCCCATCAAGCAGGAGCTATCCTGTCTGTGGATCGAGCAAGAACAGCCCGAGCCTAAGAAACCATGCAATAAAACTTTCACCACCATGCACGAGATCGTCACCCATATCACCGTGGAACATGTCGGGGGGCCCGAGCAGACCAACCACACGTGTTTCTGGCAGAACTGTTCGCGGGACCAGAAGCCGTTCAAGGCAAAATACAAACTGGTCAATCACATCCGAGTCCACACGGGGGAGAAACCCTTCCCCTGTCCCTTCCCCGGCTGCGGTAAAGTCTTCGCCCGCTCGGAAAACCTCAAGATACACAAGCGCACACATACAGGTAAACATCACAATCGCAACTTTTTTGAGAAACTGTATTGCCACTTTCCTATGCGGCGAATTTTTGTTGCACAAATTGGTGCTTATCGAATTGAAAGTTGAATGTAAAATTGTGTTCATTTTGTAAGGTAAGCAATCTGACAAAAGTCACTTCTCTAACGTAATTACTCTATCCTAAACATGCCGATTTGCATTAGAAGTCAAGGTCTTTTTGCAAAGGTTGCAATATTTATCTTGTTTTAAAAGTTCTTTTTTTTCACAAAACCATAATTTTAAAACAAGTGATTAGTACAAATACGTGTAGCCTCGAATCTACCTCAAACGTCCTATAATATGAAATGTATTACAAGTACAACATGAAAAGACGGTCAAGTTCGTGCAATGACCTTTTTGTGACATCCCATGTGACCACATCTCTGATTTGAAAGAAATAAAGAAATATACACCAATACAAAAAAATGACAAGTATTGGACAAACGGGGGGGGGGGGGGGGGGGGGGGGGGGGAATTCATCTCAAAGTCATACAAGAAATTATTGTTTTTAAGTATTTGTTATATACCTTATAGAGTATTGTATTCTCACTAATCTAGTAATATCCCTACTGCTTACTGTACTGGTTGCACCATTAAAAATTGTGCAACAGATAAAGATGATTGATATTTAGGCCTACACAGAAATTCAAATTAAACAATTACAATTCCGGCCTAGGGGCGCGATCGGTGCATGCAACATCATAACAAGTGTTATTACGCAAGGCGTGATGCGAGAAAAAAAATTACATTCTCAATAAGACGGATGGAGATGTATCATGCATGCCGTAATAATAAGATATCGGACTGCATGGGAACCGAGAGCTTTCTATTGTCACGGCTTATATTTCTTTTTCTTTCTTCAATTGGTATATTGTCTCCCTCCCAGCGTTTACGCTGTAATCGAGAGTATGGATTTGCCCCGCCGTAGCAGACGGCAGCGGGTAGGCGGAGGTCCCGCTGAGCTAGAGTGCAATGCCGATGTCACATTGTCTGTGGTAGTTTCTCCAGCCTCGTGTGTATATATACACACCAGTGATTGGATCAAGGGATCTTTTCTCTCTGTTTTCCTCAACCTATTCTTTCCGAAATACAATTATCAAATGATGAGGAATTGCAACACAATCATCTGAGTGGCAACTGGGATTGTTAGCTTTGTTCAGATTATTACGAAACTTAAATTCGTGAGCCATTTTTTCTTTCTTCTGGCTAGGCCAATACGTCATCAGCGGAAGTTGTTAACACGGTAATTAAATTGTCTGAGTTAAGAGCGATTTTTCTGGAGACTTTTGGGTGCCTTTCCATTGAAGTTTTCTTGAAAAGTTAAAGGGAATTCAGCTTGACTTGTTAGTGATATTGTGACTTTGCGTGGGTGCCCTTTATTTTCCTGGTAACTTCACTTAATCCTTTCAGTTAACGGTTGGCTGTACCGTTCTTGTGCAATGGCGAGTTTGTCCTGTGTAATAGTGTGGGTCGCTTCCTGTGTTGGTCTTTGTTACTGTACAATTTGGTAAAAAAAAGTCTCAGAAATTTTATAATTGCTTCTTAAACGCTGGCCACTGCACTGTTTCGAAATCGTCAAATTTAATTTTGGAAAATCAATTATAGTTTCTATTAAACAAATAAAAACTTTAACTCTTGCTAAAAGTTGGAGACTTTTGGGGTATATTGAAATTGTGTATTCCTCGGTACTTTGATAAAATACAAACATGTAACTAGAAAGCACTCAAGAGAGCGCAAACCTCTGCCAAGGCTGAACAATTCCCCGCCATTTTGTCAGCACACCTAAAAGAGATAAATGGTGAAGAATCCTTAAAAAAAAATCCTGGATCCAGACCCAGATCCGGATCACTTCCAAAATCGAATCGATTTGTACTTGTAAAGAACCACCCCTAAAAAAGTTTCATGCAAATCCGTCCATAACTTTTTGAGTTATCTTGTTAACAGACAAACCAACCAACCAACAAACCAACAAACTAACCAAATCCGATGAAAACATAACCTCCTTGTCGGAGGTAACAATACATTTCTCGACTCTTTCTTGGAAGTTAAAACTTTGTCAACAGCGAATGACCGAGTTGCAAAACGTAATTTGGACTGGAACTGCATGAGGAATTTCGCGTTTTAAAAGCAACGATAGACATTCACATTAATCAGTTTTGTGGATTTTCAAAACTGTCGACGTACCCTGGGTTTGTAATGAATGACAAGAGAGTGACAATTGTCTTATCATTAAGCAGCGGAGACGGAAGCTAATCTGTCGAATTAGTCCGATTAGTCGTGCACTCGAGCAGTAAACTGGGACTATTTCGCACCTGATAAGATCATAAACAACCTGTCACCGTACACCATTTGATAAAGAACTACAGTTTGGTAATACGGGTATACCTGTTTGCATTTGTACTTGCGATTCGGTTTTGCCTTGCAAAGAGGACTCCAGTATTAAAAGAAACAGAACTGTGACATTTTATTTGACCGATTTAACAGACCGAATGAATAGGGCCAGTAGAATAAAAAGTGCAACACTCGCGTACGACCGGCAGAAACGCTTTCAAGTGCAGTTTTGACCGTTTGGGGTAATCCAAACAACTCGAAACTTTCTTTTAGTTTGACCTTTAAAAGATGTCTTTGAAATGTTGTGTTTGGCCATATGGGGGGGGGGTAATTTCTATAATAAAACTGAACCGTGACTGGTACTAACTTAATATTCAGAATAGAATTTAAAAAAAATCAAATTAGGGCAAACACAGAGTTTAAAATCCATTACAATTTCTTAGTGGTTTTGCGAATTGTCGAGAATTCCACTCTTTATGTTAGGTTGAAGCTATACGGTGGGCGAAGTTCAGGCGAAAAGTCGCGAGTAATCTAATCAATCAGATTGAACATGTAAGAGTGGGATCAACTCTTAGGAAAGACGTTATAGTCTCATAAGGTAGCGGAATGTGACAAACTTGTAAGTACTTCATAGCACCATAACTTTCTCTATATGAGAGCACGGTACTCATTCGGAGACACCCATACATAAACAGTATGAGAAGGTTTGTTGTTGAAAGATGGTCTCATAATTTTCCTAAGCATATCTAGGTGTATATCATTCTGTCCTGAGCATCAGGGTTCGTACTTTTCTCTAATTTTCTAAGGGTGAAACAAGGGACCACACGATTGAGGGTAAAATCTACTCATTTTGAAGAAGAAAAAATAGATTAAAACACTTTGAAGAGTGAAAAACCACATAGCCTGATTGATTTCTCTAAATGTGAAAGAGTGAAAAACCACTCTATTTAGAGTGAAGTTTGCATCTTTTTGAACTAACTTCCACTCTTTTATACTATAGAGCCACATGGGGACACCTTCGACTTGTTTTCGAGTGGTTTTGTTTCACTCTTTTACATTAAGGGAGTAAGATGAGATTAAATTAGATTGTTTTACTGCTGCTTGTATTTGTTACAAGGTATTATAATAAGACGAGATAAGTTTGCGGTAGCACCATGTGAATAAATCTCTTTTGTGAATATGTGTGGTTCTGAAAAAAAGGTATACATTTGCTGTGGGTCTCGTGCTCATCAAAGCATTTAAAATACATACATGCTGAATCGTGTTGTCCCCAGTTTCACTGATGGGGAATTAAAACGTGGAGGATAAGACAGCAAGCACTTCACATACAGACAATAAGTATCCTGAGCTTTAAACTACTTGATAACCTGGCAAAAGACAAAGACAAAACAACAGCAAAAGTTCTCACCTACTTTCCCGTAACCAATTAAGCCCAGCTCCGCCCCGGAATGCCCCATCACAAAACCCACGGTGTTTTGCTTTGCCTCGTAAATCTTACAAAACGGAGACAAATGCTCTCCCTCGAATTAATGATTTCTCGTTTACACCTGCCCAGAGTGCAAGGCCCCCAAATCCAAGACACATTAAAAAAAAGAGGTGTAGTGTTGATGCAATTACAAGCTTGCTCTTTTTTCCCTTGTATCTGTCTCATGCTACTTCTTGTCAAGAGCCGCCATATTACTCCCCTGGGAGTCGTATCCCTCCGCGGTTTACCCACTTTCCGTAATCATTTCCTTTTGGTGTTTGTTGTGTGCGTTTTTATGGCTGTCTTAAGGTGGGCCATTTCAAGTAGTTATATTATGTGAGCCAGTATAATTCAAGTGGATATGGACAAGATTCACATGGTTTCCCGCTTGCTTTGTTTCCATGGAAACTGTTCCTTTTCCAGGACCATCTTGAAAGAAAGACAAGACATTGCATTGCCCTTTTACAATTGGTACTCAAACTGAAACAGTTGCACTGTAGTGGAGCTGACCTATTATCTTGTTCTTGTATAGTAACAGTCTTGATTTTTGACCCCATATTTGTTGGATAGACTCCAATCAGTGCTGAAATGCTTTACAGAGTGTCTTGTGTCATGGCATGAATGTCTCCATGCTTGGGAAACGGCTTGAGATTAAGGATAGCACATTACTCAATATGACATGGAAACAACAATTTTCTCAAATTTGTGGACTTCTGTTTAAGGGACTTTTAAAAACATATTTGTTTGGATTTCATTTGTGCCCAATTCTGTTGATTTGTTTACCGCGCTTTGAATCCTTTGGCAAAGGCACTCTATAAATTACAGTTATTATTATAAATTAAGACATGATTTTGGAAGTTTGGGGATAGTTTTTCAGCTTATATCCCTGCAAGTTGTGCAAACTTTTGACCCATTGAATATCGAGCTATTAACGGTTCAGGCTGCTTCGTTGCAGTCGACTGCAATCAAGACATGATGAACGTATAGCCAGGGCGTGAACATAATGATAAACATGTACCGATAGATCTTCGTTGGCTGAACCAGTCCCTCTGTAAATTGCTTTTAAACTGGAACCAGCTATCACTGATTCTTGATGGCTTGGGTTGTAAATAAGTCGGGGTTGGAATTCGTGACATAAGCGTGTATAGGGAATGAGTTACAGCTGGAAGGGTGATGATTTATCTGCTCCGTTGTCGTCGCTGGGAGTTTTTTTTCACCTCTGCTCTTCTCTCGTTGAGATGAAGGGCTCTGACTGATGGGTCGCGGCCCCCAACAATTCGCCACTTCGTCACAATAAACAAACAATCTTGTCGGGGAGAAAACAACACTTCCGAATTTTTTTACGACCCGCGTGATGGGACGACTCGACGGGATGCAGACCGTATTTTGTTAGGACCGGTTGGTCTGAAACTCACTCCTCGAAAGGCTCTGCTTTTGAGAATCGTGCAATCCGAATTTGAATCGCGTGAGATTTTGTGGAACATTCTCCATGCAGGAACCAAAGTAATTATTTATGAAACTATAATAGGGATTTTGACAAATGATTGTCATCATGTTGTTGATTTATAAGTCAAGTTGCACTCTGTTCAGACCTACTTTACAAGTGCCGAAGATTTTGCTTCAATCATCATACCTTGCAACACGTGAGGTTTGAGGGTTTTTTTTATAACTATATACAGACAACAATTTCGTTTACATGAGCTCTTTTGATTTTGACAGACGTCTTTTTTTCTATTTCTTAGTCAATTTTCGAATAATACAAAACCCTCGAAAGGGTAAAACAGTCTTAAATATCTCAGATTTGACAGTTAAACCTAGTGACAGGACATTTAGGCTCAGCTGGGCGAATCTGAAAATCAGTCAAATTATTTCGAATACGTTTGTAGCAAATTTAAAATTCGAAATTTATACAGCGAATGGGAATCTAGAGACAAGGTATCCTTGACTATTCATGAATCTGTAAGTATTTTGAATACAAACATATTTCAAGAGTTAGACAAGAGGTCGAGATAACTTAGTTTAGAAAAACTTTCCATTCATGGGAAAAACTCATGTACATGTACAATCCATGTACATGTACATGTACATGTACGTCATGGTGTGCGTCTAATGCTATAGTGCCGCACTTAAACATAGAAATCATCGACATGCTTTTCAAGTTGTGAATTGTCCACTATCCTTGGTGACATTGATTTTAAGACATGTTCTTTTGTTCAGCCACATTTTATTTATTGAGAAGCTGAGATCTCCCAGCGCGATTCTAGGCCAAACGACGCAGGGCATGGCTTCGAAAAATGATAGCTCGAAGTAAGTGATTCTTTCTGACAAATAAGCAGTAAACAACAACATAAATGAGGTGGATTAATGGCGAAGAACTGGCTTATTAGAATTTGCGTCTGAATTTGAGGATTTTAAAGATAAGTGCCTGTAGAGACACGCATGCTAACAGAGTTAGCTGTCTCGCACATTCTAACAGTGGGCCCCAGCGATAACAACATGGCGATAAACATGATAATCCGATAACCTACATATCGGTAATTCGATTCGTGGCTGTGTGCGGCACCGGTTGTAGAAGTTCAACGAACGGTGCAACTTTCTTCTGCAAACTAACGCAATCAAAGCACTTGGGAAAATCACACTAAGTTTTTGCAAACTTGACAAAAGTTTTCGAAATGAAAATGGTAGAAAGCCGTTCTTCATTCGCTCATATTAAAGATATTAACTGCTTGAATGCTTGTGTAAATGATAAGTAACGCACAACTTATTAGATACATATTTTTGAGCATTATTTTCTTGAGATGGCGTGGTTAAGTTTTATTTTGACAGTTTTTGTAAGACATAACTCTGTGATCTTCGTGACAGTTTTTGTTTAATTGCATCCTAGTTTTTGTGTAATTGCGTCCCTACATTTTTGATGATACTTATCATTCATTTCGAATTATACAGCTGTGACAGCTGGATACATTATTGTCCAGGTATGTGTGGGTTTTGAAAATAATTATCATCGTTAACACATAGCGCGCCCCGCATTAAATATTTACGAGCAGTTATGCTTTAATATGGAAACGTACCAGTTATACACAATCGCATCACCGACACCCCCACTCGCACCGCGTCAATCCCAGTGGAGTCCGGGGTGTCATATCGCCCGCCCCTGGGCCCTCAACCCCCTGTCACAGGGGGACGGAAAACCAGGGCGTGAATGAAGCCAGTTAGCCGGGGCGCTCACGGCTGACAACCCCGCCGAGAAACTGCGGCGCGCCGCCTGTAAACTCGGAGTCTAGTTTCACTCGGGTATATTACCGCACGTCCCGTCCAATAACTCCGACGGTGCTTACAATCTCGCACACTTCGAAGGCAGAGCTACATTTCGGACCTCCTTCGTGGTTTGTGTGTCTTAAGATTTTCTATCTTTCCCCGTTTGATTGCGTTAGTGTGGCAATGTGAAGTTACCACTGCAAAGGGTAATACATTCGTCGTCAACATTAAAGCTTCGTTTGTGAAGAACCTTTCGCCTGAAATCATCCCACACTCGCCCGTACATTTTTTAAAATCCAATTTTGTTTTCTTGAACTAAAATCAATTATTAAATTGAAGTGGTTCTCAACCCCCCCCCCCCTCCTTCCACTGCCACCAACTGAACAAACTCAATTTACACTGAGGACTGTAACTACCCCGTGATATGTAAGTAATGTCTACCCCTTCACTTCATCTTTGTCTGAGACGCGCTTACATTTTGCTCTTTCCATATTTTTTTGCCTCGGTTGATCTGAGCTCCGCCAGCGCCAACAAGGCAGCGAAATTACAAGCCGGCAATATTATTATTACTGTCTCACTCGCTCTTGAAGTTGTAACGAAATTAAATGTAATCAGCTTTGTTGCGAAAATTATCAGATTCGGGTGTGAGTCGAACCGTGCTGCCATTATTCTTTTGGTGCGGTTTTTGGAGGAAGCTGGCTTTGGGCGCGATATGTCAAAGACGCGACGTGCGCTCCGCCGTCGACTTTCAGCTCAGACGCGGCGCGGGCCGAGACCGGGAGAAACCTCACGGCCGGCCCCGCCAATAGCCCCATCGCCCGCTAACTCACTCGCTGCCTTGTGCATTCTGTAATAATGATGTAGCGGAATAACTGCCATCGCGCCCAATCGGGCGTGTGATCCTTTACACAATTGTCCTTCGTGTTATTTACAATGTACTTCATATGATTTTTTTTTCTTGCTCTCGAGGGACGACTGCAATATAATCAGAATATTTCGCAGCAACCGTCTGATCAGGCGTAATTACACGACCCATTGTGTTACGGCTGTGACCTCAAGTTCATTCTGACACCACCGGTCTCTTTATACCGCTGTATTTTTACAGTTGCTAGCAGACCCGCTCAATGATGCTGGCTGCTTTTTCCCCCTTATTTTCCTCCATCAATTTTTGCAAGTCTTTCAATCGGAAACCAGTGGACCCGAAGTTGAGATACGGAGCGGGGGTAGAAAATGATCCAATCTAAGCGATCGAGTGGACACTTTTTCTCGGGATAAATTAATGAGGCTTATAGGCAAGGCAACAGTAATAATTGAATACGTGGGCCATTCGGGGCTTGGCTAAAATACCTTATGGTCATGCTTTAGCCGTATCTTTTTTTTGTGTATACAGGGAAAGCGTGATGTGTTGTGTGGGGGTATAGAACATCGTTAATTAGTCGATCAAAACCTAATTTCATTGTCTTTTGTCGTACCTGGTTTATTCAAGTGGCTATGGGGAAATTTAGACCGGTGCAATGCGAAAAAAACAAAGACAGAAATTTCTTTTACTTATAAGTTTTGCCCGAACAAAAAAAAGTTGTTTATAAACTAATTGGTTTAAAATCCTTCTGGCAGGTTTCCAGAATCCACTTCTTACCAGGGCTTTTAGAATCAAGTAGTACGGACTTAAATGTTGTTCTCGTACTTTGGAAAACAATCAAATAATGACTTCAAGTAATTCGATTTAGCTGGGTGTATAACTGCACATAAATTTCCTGTCAGGATTATGGAATACAGAGAATGGAAGTCTAGTTGAGAGTAATCTTGCTTCTTTTTCTCACAAATGAAGTCCCGAAAACTATTGAGTACAACTGCTGAGAATCGTACGTCAGTGAAATGCAAAACCCGGTTTTATAATATTGTTCAACAAGTCCTTTACCGTGTGCTTTTGTATTTTGTATTTTTCAGGAGAGAAGCCGTTCAAGTGCGAGTTTGATGGCTGCGATCGTCGCTTTGCCAACTCCAGCGATCGCAAGAAGCACTCCCACGTCCATACTTCAGACAAGCCTTACAACTGCAAGATGCGAGGCTGTGATAAGAGCTACACCCACCCCAGCTCCCTCCGGAAACACATGAAGGTCCACAGCAAGTCTCCCCCACCCCCGGGGGTCTTCGAGCCGGCTGCCACCTCTCCCACCACCTCCTCCGACTCCTCCCAGTCCCAGGGTGGGGGCGGTGGGGGCGGGGGACAGAGCGGTGGGGGTCAGAGCGGGGGAGCGCCCAGCGCGGGGCTGGGTAGCTCCATGCCCCCAGCACCCAGCTTGTCCAGCAACGCGGGGACCAACCTGAGCGAGTGGTACGTGTGTCAGACGGCCGGGGGAATGCCCACGCCGCCGAGCAACGAACCCTCGCCCGTCAATAGCGGCACCCATCACTCGCTGAGTTCCAGGATCCCTCCGCACTCTAGCAACAATACGTCAAACTACTGAACTCCAAAATAAAGCACAAACAAAACTCATCAGTCACCAACCAAATTGAACCATAACTGGTCGACGGAGAGGAGTGCTACAATTTAAACACAAAAACTACGGGTAACGATTGGACAAAACGATTGGTAAAAATATCGAACGTTAGGCGGAACCACAGCCGCGACGCCTTCTCGGCTGAAAGGGCGCCATTCTATAGATTTTGGAGTGACAGTATAGTTAAAAGTGGAGAAAGCGGCCATGTTGGAGTACAGATCTCCGTGTTGAAACTGCCCAGCTTGCATCCGTGGTGTCTTCTTATTCACTACAGATAAATCGAGACTTGTTTTCCGCCACCTCATCCCGTGTGTCTTCATGGTAAAATCATGCTTCGCCAAAGCTGAACTGAACACCAGAGCAAGTCTCCGACATGTTGCCCAAACTGAGCGATTTAGAAGAAACTTGAAAGTTAGTTTGATACTTCCGTTTATTAGAGTCGCTTGTTCGTGTTGAGTCTTAACTAACAGATCGTGACATCAGGTGTGAAAGTTTGAGGGGAAAAAAGGGGTTTCCTTTACGACAACAATTTCTGCACAAGGTTCACTTGCAGAAAACGTTCAGACATTAGTACCGGTATATGTTCTTTTGAAAGTTAACGTATTTCAGTGTACTCTGCATTTCAAAATCAGTACTTTTTTATAGAATTTAACGTAGACGGGATCCACTCGAAGTACTAATTTTTGTCTGGAAAGGGGATTGGTGAATCGGATTTTTTCCCCACGAAATTCGGATTGTCCAGTATCATAACTGGACGACACCGGTACATGGTTTGAAAATTGTGTTCGGTTCCAACGCTTGAGAACGATCGATTCAGTCAACCCATATGGAATGAATAATTTTTACGAGTGGGAAAACAGTGAAAGTGTTTTGGTTAACGATTTTACAGAAATGTCACTCCATGGTTTCGAAGTATCTTATCTTTTGTATTACCTCTTGCCATAAAGTTCGAAAGCCACAAAAACTGTGAATATGTCTTGTATAGTGTTTTTTTTTAAAGATTTATAATTAAACTATTTGTTCATCAGAGAAGTCCGATTTTGACAATTTTTTTTCTGAGCAATCATCGGATCTTTATACAGAGAAGGGAGGTTTTTTTTTTTAAAGTAATCATTCACTACGCAATAAGTCAAGAGACAATCATGTATTAATCCATGTGCAAACTGTAAACGGTTTCGTTCCTTGTCGACGATAGTAAAAGGGTAGGATGGGTGGGACTTGAGTCCAATGAAAACAAAAATCAGAGTGGTGAGAAAAATCTAAATTTCCACAACTTTTATTTTCTAGATTGAGGCATTTTTAAAAGCTATGGTAGGCATATGCCACAGAAACACTGATAACAACCGATTGTCTTTTCTTTTAATTTTACACAAGTTTTGGGCACATTGACCGATTTTTTTTACATCCTAAATAATACCTATAAGTACTCTTTGTCTAGTGCCCTGACGCCTACCCTATAATTCGTGCATTTAGCTGTATACAACTATCATCAGTTTCTGCTTGGGCTCTGGAATAGTGGCCGTGCATAATTGGAGTAAACACAATCAAACAAACAATTTAAACATGGTTAACAATTTGACTGCCATATTTCTTCCTGTTGTAAATCGATCCCATCTTCCTCAATACTTGTTAAAAAGTCGAACTGATTTCTGCTCACCATGTAGGAGATTAATTGATCGGACGTACTCTGCTATGAGAAAATTGATGTAAATTATATAGATTTTTATAATAAATTATCCAATCAGTACATGCTATTCTCGGTCTCTTTTCCTTTGTGGCTTCGATTCGTTTGTCTTTATGCATTACGCAATTGTCACTGACATGCTGACTTGTTCAGTTCGTAGAAGTCGTCGTAGAACAAATTGGACAAACGTTTAGCGTTGCAACCTTCCATGTGTTTCTATAACTAGATTATGCTTCATAATATATCCTCTGCAAAGCGAGCGTTGTTACATGCCTGTGTGCTAATATAACCAAACACATGCACTTTGTAGCAATCAAACGTTGAACGCCGTAACTAGAGCGTCAACAAATGCGGCCAAGGTTGGGTTTTTTTCTTTGACCAAACAGAAAGGATAAGTCTTACGTATTACCTTTGTGTTATTGGCAAAGCAATGCCCCATGTGATAGTCCATCGTGGTCAAAATATCCCCCAAAACGCACCACAGCATAGCCCTTTCTCTCCGTTCGGCCGGACGGAAAATCGGCTCAGGGAAAATCGATTGTTCCGCTTATAGGTGAACGGAAACTGTTAGGGAAAAAACTAAATATGAACGAAGAGTTTTGCTCCAACCCCCCCCCCCAAAAAAAAAAACCCAACAAAACCCACAAAGTTTTAGCAACGACAAGTCGCCAATTCGATTCCTAAATTTGCACAATTGTGTACATAATTCAACGTGAAATAACCATTATTTTTTTTAACGATTATCTTACGAAAATTCCACTTCGCTTTGTATAACATCAACCCATCTACATGGCGAGTAGAAAACTTTGTTTTTGTTTTGTGTACTTTTTTTTTTTATAAACTTGTGATATTTAAATGGGAAATATAACCGGGGTAATGTGCATTATGCTCGCCAAATGATCACCATTTAGGGATATATTGTGAGTGAAAAATAAGTTTGCGGGCAAACTCTCCAAGCGACGAAACAAAAAGTTCATGCAGTTGGTTGCTATTATATTCAAATTATTTCAATAAGCAATTTACTCAAAATGGTCAATGCATGCATAAGTTAAGACACAGCTAAGATTTGAGGGTGGAGCCTTGGGATGGCGAGCCAAAACACGTTATCATCACATCTGAGAAAACCTCCGTGCTTATTCCCTTGGTGTGGTAAATGTCACTTCCGAATCTTCGAAACGTTGGTGATCGCTGACTCATTCAGTTTTTACCGCCCAGATTTGTTTTGATCCTCGCGCGTCGGCAAGAAGAAAGGACGAAAGCGCCGTCCGATACCTAGCACCTACCGGATGGTGTAGGCTGAACCCACAAGAACACACCAAGATTGCGAATAGGAGAAGGGGAAATGTCTTCACGGATATTTTTTTCTTCGGCAGTGACGGCTAAAAAATATGAATGTATACCTGAACAGGTGATAAGCTTCTTAGCCCGGGGGCCAGGAAAGCCAATTAGCCGGGAGTAGAGGCGGACAGGCACCGCTCGATCCGCGGTCGAAACACCGGTCAAACGGGATTTGATTTTTGCTCGGATAATACCGCCGGTTTTGAAGTTTATAACTCGATGCTCGGTTTCATGTGTCAACTTCGCGGTAGAGTGTGGCACAACAACATCCCAATAGAAGTGTTTATCGGGTCTTAGTTTTTAAAAGCCCGGTGCTAATGCGTGTTTGATATGACAGAGGCAGGGCGGTCGCGGAGGAGTTGTTTTCTCTCCGACCGCTGCGTAAACTCTTCCCGGTTTCACGGAGGAGACAAAAACCACACGGGCAGAAGTGTTACACATCTCCATTCAGCGTCCCGTGGGAGGCCGTGTGACGGGTAGAACCCCCCTGCCGAGCCCGCCAAATGTTTGGCCGGGGATTGCTTGGCTGGCCTGGGCCCGGGCCGAACTTGAAAACAACAACAACATAACGGCGTGGACCGGCGGAAGTACGAGTCAGAAATGTCAGGGGGACTTACCCGAAGAGAAACAGGGTTGGAGCGGTTACCCAAAAGTACTTATAAAAGATGAGAATCGGGCTTGCTTATAAATTAACCACAACCGCGTCATATTTTCATAGTTGGTCTTCCGACCCGCAGTTAATTTTTTAAAAAATATCGACACTTTTGTTCCCATGGTTTGTTGAGGTCAACTTAATTGCGGCAGTCAAGCATCAAATGAAATGAAATCAATGAAAAAGCTGCATTTGTTTAAATTGGCCATAACTCACTAAACATTTTTCCGATTGGAAAGATTTGTTTTCGTTGTTGAAAAGCTAATGAAGTATACTTGTGGAATATGTTACTATCAATATTTGCGATTATCATGTATTTTCTAAAATGATGTGAAAAAGAGGGCACTTTGAACATTCGGGACACTCTGTATTACAGACCTAACACATAGTGTCATTGATGAGTTTGAGTTCTTTCTAAAATGCAGTTCTTAAACTTTAACGAAAAGGGCGTTTCCTTTGCAGAATTAATACACGTATGATATTTAGAGTAAATGCAAACCGATATTTTAAAAAGTCTATTATTGAGGGGAGGATTCCTTGACAAACTACTTTTTGTCACATTAAGAAATACAGTACGGTAGAGTACCGTACGCAAAACTTGCCGCGTCACAAATATCAGGTCTTTGAATTTCGTCTCAGGCCCGAACGTGATGTACATGTATATGAGGCTCCTCAAATAATGTAAGTAATCTTATGCATTTACAACAAACTTTGGGAACCGCAAGTTGTCGGAAATAGAGACACGAATCCACAGGCAGAATTTGGGATACAAAATATTGGAATAACAAGGAAGTTGTGCAGTTGAAATTGGGAATTGTTTGGGGGCAAAGCAAACTTGACTTCGGATAATAGGATAAGATAAACGTTCCTGGCCCTCTTTCCACGATAGGTCTAACCAACGGGTGCAAACCTATGTTCCCCAATACTTATGTTCGGGCCCAATACCTATGTTCCCTAATCTTACCCTAACCCTAAACCTAACCCTAAGGATTTTGGGGAACATAGATATTGGGGAATATAGGTATTGGGGAACATCGGGTAGACCCCCAGCCAACCATGATGTTGCTCTGTAATACGCCACCGTACCTCTTCTATACCCAGCTCTTCGCATTGTCTGACGGGGAGCCCAGAGTTTATCGAGCTTTGATCCCACCAATCATCGCCTCATTCCGGCCGTGTTGTCAAAGCAAATCCCCAAACCTTGCCCCGGCTCTGGCTTGCGAAAACAACCCCGTGGCTGTTGGCGTAGACGTCTACGGTTACGACGGGCAAACCTTCCCCCGGCGATACTGCAACCGATCCGCTCCGGTCTCGACACCTTCTCGGTGTTTTGACCCCTCGGGCGCCGTAATCAAAAAAAGAAGAGGGGAAACGCTTCAAACGAATCAAACGTTGCTTACTTTTATTCCCCAAATCATTTTCTGGTTTTCTTATCGTTTCTATGGCGCTTGTTTCTTATGAAATATTGACCAATCTTCTTCCGAGTGAATAAACTTTGAAAGTACGGATTAATACAATGGGATAAGGATATCGCAATCTCCACTAAATGCTTTCAGTTTTAACCGTGAGGTATATAGCGCCAATGCTTGCGCAAGGTGCCGCTGATAGTGTTTGTATACGAACATACCTGCACCCGGCTTTAACTGAACGCACATGTGTAAAGCACTCAATTGCGGGATTAAAGGGATTAAATTATATTTACAGTTTGATCCCAGAGGAGAGCCGGCAACAAATTGACTGACAGCTTACAATACAAGGACGAGGTTGGGGTTCATTAAAAAATCTAAAATGCTTCAGATGGCTCGAAAATGGTTCGAGCGTTCGAAAGTCCTTGGGCTCGAGTATTTTAATGGATTTTCTGGCCTTTTATTTTTTAAGGCTATAAGATAAAACTTCACCCCAGTTGATATGATTGTAGATTCCCCTATTCCCACTCATTCATGTTTATAGTTTCACATGCTGAAGCTCTTTCCTATAATTAATTGACAAAAATGTATTGTATATCCGAACTAAACTTAACGGTATTTTTTTTTTTTTACTTATCTTTGAATCGTCTCCGCTGAATTTTGTCTTGAAGTTTGAAGTAACGTCTCGGTTTCAAATTTCACTGTTCTTGGTATAACGAAATAAGTTTTACCTGCCTCATGACCAGCAAAAGAATGAGAAATATATTTTGACGCAATTTTGTTTGTACCGCTACCGTTGACGTTTCTTGAAATGAGAAAATAAACTTAGTCTACACTGTAAAAACTGTGTTAAGCAAGTAAACACTTTTCTAAACACTTTCTTGCTATCAGTTTGTAAACATGTTTAAATACTAAACATGTTTAGAGTAAGGATGGATAGAGTTTAGCTATTGAACATTGGTGTTTAGGAATTGGACACGTCATGTTTAGCGTCTAAACATGTTTACAAAGTGATAGCAAGATTGTGTTTAATTGCTAAACACAGTTTTTAGAGTGTAGCCATCTTAGTCTAGCCATTTTAATTTATATCAAAAGTATAGAAAAGAGCTTTCTGCACAAGCAAATACAAGTTGAGATTTGAAAAATCAAGTTCAAAGCACCATGCATTTATCAAATATTTTCCGCATGGATGTCGTTTATGGATAATATTAAGCAGTATGTTTTGTCCTTACCGGCAACATAAAACCCAAACCGACTTGTTCAATGTTAAATTGCTTGTGGAACCTCTTAAGTCTGTGCTCCATGGTAGAACGAAAAGGGAATGCGTCGTCCATTTGTGAGAACTTGTTGTCATGTTTTTCTTTATTCCCCGGGCCTTGTCAATTTTTGGTTTTAGTTAGGAGGGGGAACGATTCCCCACTCCCCTTTCCACCCCCTGGACCCAGACCCCGTTTCCCACAGTATTCACATCTGGTTGGAATTCCCTTCCCCGTCACCCGACCCCTTCTTCATCAGCAAACCCCAATTCTCGATCTTGTTTATTATTGTCACTCAAGTAGACCCTCTCCCCTAGTTTTTTGGTGTGCTAATGCAGCTAGGTGTTAATTGGTTGTATAGGAAAGATCCGGAAACCTCACACCGAACGAAGGGTTTCGTTTTTCCGCGTC